GGGGGAAGAGGCATGTGGGGGAGGAAATATTTAGAGCTCAGTTTTGGATAGATTGAGTTCTAGGAAGTGGTGTGACATCCAGTCTCATATGTCTGTTAAATTGGTGATACGTGAGGAAACTGATGGGGTGAGCTGAGAAGTAGAAATATAGATTTTTCTGTCATCAGCATAGAAATGGTATTGGAAACCATGGGAGGCTATCAGCTGACCCAAAGAAAAAATTAAATTGAGAATAGGAGAGGTCCAAGGACAGAACCTTGGGGGACCCTGACAGTAAGAGGAGTAGGAGTGGAGGAAGTAGAATTGTAAGTGGCACTGAAGGTGAAGATTCGAACCAAAGGGGAGAAGTACAGTCACGGAGTCCAAGTAAATAGAGTTTTTTGAGGAGGAGGGGGTGGTCAACCATGTTAAAGGCAGCGGAGAGGTCCAAGAGTAAGATTACAGAATAGAATATTAGGGAAAATATTCCCTAATATTCTATTCTACTGTTTTGGTGCCGTGGTTGTGGCATGTCAGTGCTGGCTGCTTAATTTGAATATTTTTGCTTTGTGGCGCAGGAGTTAGCTTTATCTATTAAGATTACGGAATAGTCACCTTTATTTAGTGGTTAGTAAGTTGTTTGTGAGTTTTAGGAGAACAGTTTCTGTGGAGTGTTGTGGGCAAAATCCAAACTGAAGGGGATCGAGAAGGTTTTTCTCAATGAGTTGGCAGCTCAGCTGGTTGTAGACTACACGGTCAAGGAGTTTGGAGGCAAAAGGGATTAAGGAGATGGGTCTTGGGTTGCCAAGATTGGGGTCCAGTGAGGCCTATGTATGGGGATGAGTAGCATGTTTTAGAGAGTTGGGGAAGATGTCAGTAGAAAGGGAGAGATTGAAAATATGAGTTAAGGAGTGAAGGATAGAGCCAGAGGGTGACCATAGTATTTGCGAGGGAACGGGACAGGTGGTTAGGTGGGCTTTAGAAAAAAAGTTTACCAACGTCCTCTATAGTAGCTAGGTTAAACAAGGGAAGTATAGATTGCGCAGGTGGACAAGGAGTGTAGGGTGAGGGAGATAGCTGTACAGTGGAGATCTCCTCACGAATTGTATCAATCTTCTTTTTGAAGTGATTAGCGATTTCCTGGGCAGTGAGTGAGTTAGTGGGTGGAGGCGAAAGACAAAGTAGAGAGTTAAAGGTAGAAAAGAGTTGTAGGGGATTGCATGAGAGTGATAAAATAGATCTGTTTGACAGTGTGGAGACAGGAATTTTATTTTTTTAAGGGCAGATTTATATTGCATGAATGTTTTGCTGGGTCTTAGTCTTACGCCTTAAACGCTCAAGAACATGGCTACGTGTTTTGAGTCATCTTGGATTGTCTGTTTGCCAGGGCTGTTGCGGTCGTGGCCTAATTCTGTGTGTAGTGAGTGGGGCCATTGTGTCCAGGGTGGATGACAGTGAACTGTTGTAGACAGAAGTGGCCAGGTTGGGGCAGGACAGGGCTGATATTTTGATATTTGATATTTTTGGATGCCATCAAGACCTTTTGATAGTGTAGAAGGGCCCTATCTTTGGGTTGTTCTACAGAAATGTGGTCTCAGTTCTACTTTGTCAAGGGGTTAAACTATTGTATCCAGCCCCTAAGGCCTCTATAAGGGTCATTGGTTTGCAATCCTTCCCTTCCCATTCCATTTAAGCTTTTTCTCGGCACTAGGCAGGGGTGCCCTTTGTTGCCCTTGCTCTTTGCTATTGAACCCTTGGCCTACCTTATATGTGCAGCTCCGGATGTAACTGGTCTGATCAAAGGCAATGTAGAAGTAAAGCTAGCGTTGTATGCCGATTATGCTTTTATATCTACTCTTCAATCGTCTCTGCCAGCAGCTATTAACTATATAGATTAATTTTCTAGATTCTCTGGGCTGTCTATTAACTGGGAGAAGTCTATGCTTTTGCTATTGGATCCCCTATCTAATGCTTTACCATCAACATTGGCACATCTTAAAATAGTCTCCTCTTTTTAGTATCTGGGCGTGACTATGACAGCCTCTCCCCTAACATATATTTCAGATAATGTCGTGCAACTGTTGTCAAGGTTTCAAATTCAAAGTAAAGTTTGACGTAGACTTTCTCTTTCAGTAATAGGTCGTATAAACTTAATAAAAATGATATGGATGCCTCAACTTCTATATCTTCTACACAATTCTCCAATCTGGATCCCTCTGAAGATCTTTGTTAAGGTCGATGGCTTATTTAGGAATTTAATCTGGAGGAATAAAGTCACCCGTATTAAATTGGAACTTTTACATTACCCAAAGGAGGCTGGGGGTTTAGCAGCACCAAATCTGAGAATTTACTTTCTTGCAGCCAACTGCAGCATATTGCATGGTAGGACTCATCTGTCCTGGTTTGTGCTTCATATCATTTAATTTGTTTTGTGTTCCAGGGATGCCCAGCACTGCATGCCCTGGAACAGTTGGCAAAGCGTTCTGTTTTTTCCAACGTATCTACTTGGATATTACTGTTAAAGGTTTGGGACTCTGTCAAGAAGTTACTGGGGGATTTCTTCCCTCACTAAATATACCCCTATTTGGGGTAATGATAGACTCCTTGAGCTATCTACCCTGCAGGGTTTTCAGAAATGGGAACAAGTAGGAGTTTGTACTCTTTCACAGTTATATTAAATGAGTTCACTTAAATGTTATGAGGAGCTGCTAAGGGTTAGGGCTTTGAACCCTAGATGCTTCCGTCAGTTTTTTGCTGTTGCATCATGCTTTGCAGGTGCAAATCATTCCATCTTTTGTTCGGTTTTCCCCTGTCCCAGTGCTGGATAGAATTCAAGCAATTTCTACTAAAGGCCTTATCTCAGCTACCTACAATTGAGGGCTCTTTACAGAAATCCCATCTTCCCTCTAGAGCAAAATGGGAACAGGATATAGGACCCATCCCTAATATTGCTTGGGAAGAGATCCTTTGGGCAATTCCTCTTGTCTCAATTTCCTCTTCACATAGGTTAACCCAGGTTTTTATCCTCTAAACGTCAGATTTTGAGTTAGGATGCATTCTCTTTGGGTGCAGTGGTATTGCTCTGCTCACTAAAAAAAAGGGGGCCAGCTATAGAAGAGTTTTTGACAGTTGTAATGTTCCTTATTTACTTATTGTTTTGAATTGATTTGGGTATCCTCCAGGTTTTTTTTTTTCTTTTTGTGATCTTTGTTTTGGTTTGTGAGATGTGTGTTTTTTTCTGTATTTTTGAAGTATTTTTGTCATATTTAAATTTTGTGTATATGTTTATACGTTGGATAAAATAAACAAATCTTCAAAATAAAATGTGAAATAAATAAATCAATAAAATATACATTACACAAATAATGTGCCTGATTCCAACATAAACTATGTGCAAAATAAAATAAAAAAAAAAATGAACATAACTTAATCAGCAAAAACTGTCCATAATGACGTCAGCCGTTGCTGACGAAGCGCGTGGGAAGGGCTTTCCATGATACATCACTTCTGGTTGGTAGAATGCAGGTGGAGCGCAAACCAGCATTCCTGGTTACCATAGAGAGTTTACATGCCTGAATGAAAAGTACCTATGTAAGTTCAATTTTAAAGCGTTTTTTATTACATGGATTTTACTACACTATGATAGGTTCCTCTATCTCTTTCCCTCTGAGGAAGATTTTACAGAGTCTCTTAAAGATACTAGAGCACTGCCATTACATGCTGTGATTCAATTGTTCAAGTGTATGGCAGATTAACGGGAGAGTAAAGAACTCATCTGGGATAATATAAATGTGATTGACCTTTTTTTTTTTTAGAAAAGAGGTCATATACACTATATTGCCAAAAGTATTCGGACACCTGCCTTTACACACACATGAACTTTAATGGCATCCTAGTCTTAGTCTATAGGGTTCAATATTGATTGGCCCACCCTTTGCAGCTATAACAGCTTCAACGAAGCTGTCCACAAGGTTTAGGAGTGTGTCTATATGAATGTTCTACCATTCCAGAAGCGCATTTGTGAGGTCAGGAACTGATGTCGGACGAGAAGGCCTCCGCTCTAATTCATCCCAAAGGTGTTCTATCGGGTTGAGGTCAGGACTCTGTGCAGGCCAGTAAGTTCCTCCACCCTAAACTCACTCATCCATGTCTTTATGGACCTTGCTTTGTGCACTAGTGCACAGTCATTGTGGAACATGAAGGGGCCATCCCCAAGCTGTTCCCACAAAGTTCGGCGCATGAAATTGTCCAAAATGTCTTGATATGCTGATGCCTTAAATAGATACTAAAGGCTTACTTTTTTTTCTAAAAATAACAAACATGTCTATAAGTACCTGCTGTGTGCAATGGTTTTGCACAGAGCAGCCTGGGTTCTCCTCTTCTTGGGTCCCCCACAGGCTCTCCTGGTTCCTCCCTCCTGTTGGGTCCCCCCACAACAAGCAGCATGCTATGGGGGCACCTGCTACTCCGTGTGTTCATTCACACACGAATCCATGGCTTGGCCCCACCCCCTCTTTTCATTGGCTCACTGGCTGTGATTGGCAGGAGCCAATGACTCCCACTGCTGTCTCAGCCAGTGAGGAGAGGGAGTCCTGGGATATCTGAGACTCCAGTGCACTTCGCTGGATCGAGAGGGGGCTTTTGTGAGTATTAAGGGGGCTGGGGGGAATGCTGCATAGATGTTTTTTACATTCACGCATAGAGTACATGAAGGTGAAAAAAACCTTGAGCCTTTACAACCACTTTGAGTTCCCTTCACTGGATTTAAGGGGCCAAGCCCAACCCCTGAAAATTAACCCCACACCATTATCCCTCCACCAAACTACACTTGGCACAATGCAGTCAGGCAAGTACCATTCTCTTGGCAACCAACAAACCCAGACAAGCCCATCTGATTTCCAGACAGAGAAGCGTGATTCGTTACTCCAGAGAACACGTCTCCACTGCTCTAGAGTCCAGTGGCGGCACGCTTTACACCACTTTGCATTGCACTTGGTGATGTAAGGCTTGGAGGCAGCTGCTCGGCCATAGAAACCTTTCCATGAAGCTCTCTATGCACTGTTGGGCTAATCTGAAGGCCACATGAAGTTTGGAGGTCTTTACCTATTGACTCTTCAAACAGTTGTCGTCTTCTGAGCACTGTGCACTTTACAATGCGCTGACCCTACTCTATCATTTTACATGGCCTACCACTTGGTGGCTCATTTGCTGTTGTTCCCAGTTGCTTCCACTGTGTTACAACACCACTTAGGCTTCGTTCATACTAGCGTTGTGTGCAGGCGGCAGAGAGACGTTTGGGAAGCGTTTTTACCGCTTCCCAAACGCCTCTGCCAATTCTGCACATTGTGCTGTTCTAACGGGAGCGTTTGTGTCGCGGCAAAACGGACGCCTCTGGTCGAGTCAGGAGGCTTTGAAGCCTCCTATTTTCGTCTATGGTGCCGCTCCGCAAACGAGCGTTTGCAGTGCGGTTGCGGGGCGTTTGCGGAGCGGTAACACCACTCAAACTGCATTATAGCCATTTTGTGGGGCAATAACGCTCAGCAAACGCCTAGCAACCGCCGCTAAACCGCGCATGTGGCGATTGCGGAGCGTTAAACGCTCCGCAAACGCCGGACCAACGCTTGCCAAACGCTATAGGGGCGTTTGGCAAGCGTTGGTAAAACAGCCAAGTGTGAACGAGCTCTAACAGTTGACCGTGGAATATTTAGTAGCAAGGAAATTTCACAGATGGACTTTTTGCAAAGGTGGCAGCCTAGCACGGTACCACGCTTGAATTCACTGAGCTCTTGAGAGCGACCCATTCTTTCACAAATGTTTGTAGAAGTAGTCTGCATGCCTAGGTGCTTGATTTTGTACAGCTGTGGCCATGGATGTGATTGGAACATCTGAATCCAATGGTTTGGAGGGGTAGCACACTATATTGCCAAAAGTATTGGATCTCTGGTGAGTGCAGTGTGTTCTTTTTTGGGAAGGAAGAGCACTTATTTCCTGTGTGTCTTTTGTTTTGCACAGACTTGATACAGATATTGGGCACGGAGCACTTTGAAGTGGAATATTGATAATCGACATTTTTTGCTGATTAAGTTATGTTCATATATTCTTTATCACTGAGTTTTACACATAGTCTATGTTGGAATCTGGCACTTTATTTGTGTCATATTTTTATCACATGTAAATGTATGTATTATTTATCGATTTTATTTGCTTTTTGCACATAGTCATGTTGGAGTACTGCACTTAAACAAAAAAAAAAGTGTCTGTGTATGTATGTATGTATGTGTATATATATATATTATATATTTAAATTGATGTGTGTTTGAAGAGCACAGTCCACCTGGTTTATGGTTCATTTAGGGGTATACTTTTAAAGGGGAGCATGAGTGTTCATGATTTTGGAGAACCACTATATTCAGTACTTCATTGCATTTTATGTGGACTGATTTTGCACATAGACACACTTTATAAGTGGAATTAGCACATTTTGAATGTATTTACTGTTTAAAAGCATAATTTCTAATGGAAGGGGAGGTGTTTTATAGTACACATGTTTTTTGACGCAGAGTAAGTAAACTTGCACACACAAATTTACACAGTGTTTAAACGGCATGTAATCAAGAGGAGGGTGGTGTATTGTAAATGCAGGAAAAACTAGCTTCATTTTTCTGTCTTTCATACAAACACAAAACTTTTGTTTTGCACAAACCTGACATTTGTTTAACGTTTTATTGTTACATCACATGTATGGGGAAATGATGCTTACCCCACTGCATTGAACACACCCCCTAAAGCATCTGTCGTCTTTGTTTTAGTCAAGCATTTCAGGGTGGTACCCAGTACCACTGAAGAAAACCTTGTAGGCTGTTTTTTAGGTTACTTGGATTGAAGGGGTACATTTTAACCCAGTCCTTCAGTTCCAAAGGGTCATTCAGATTCATTCCAATTTCTGAAGAGATTAAATAGGCCCACACACATTTAGCATAGAGTTCATGAGCAATATAAATCCAGAGGAACCCACGGGAATGCAAACATAACTGTTCAAAGGGACGGGACACAATTTTGCGGTTGATGGCATAAATATTGCATTCAGCGCTTTGTTTTGTGCTTGCATAGTTGCCCAGGTGGGGAATGTATATGAGGTCAGAAAAGGATTCATGTGAGTGAAGGCGCGGATAGTTCACTAGACAAAAGACCTGTTCCATACCCTGGGTAAACAGCAGGTTATTAAGGACTGTACTTTTTTGCATGTATTTTTATATATATATATATAAGTACTTTCTACAAAGCCTGTCTGTTGCTAAGGTATGTTGGGGTGCCATGCAGCATGAATCGCACCAATGTGAGATGGTATGAATGGGACCTTATTTGCTATTCTAGCATCTCTACTAGGGTATCAGCTGTCTTAGCTCTCAGCGCATGCTAACATAACAAAACTGTACTTTGCACCTCTGAGTGAACCCTCTAAGCCTCTTCACACTATTGCATAGCGGTAATGTGTGCTACATGTGCTTGAGTGATGTGCTGCCATTCATTCTGAATGGCATCCCAGTGCACCTTGTCCACTGCCAGAAATGGTACATGCAAATTTTTTTTTGTTCTCTGTGCGATGTGAATGGGCTCTTAAACTCTTAACTGAAATTTTGGTTATGAACATGCATTTCCTACGCTCCCTCACCCACATCTTCAATCTCTCCCTCTCCTCAGACACTTTCCCCTCCCCTCTGAAACATGCACACATCACCCCCATACTTAAAAAGCCCTCCCTGGACCCCAATGACCCGAACAACCTCAGACCCATCTCCCGGCTCCCATTTACATCTAAACTCCCCGAGCGCCTCGTCTACACCCGCCTATGCTCTCACCTCAACGACAACCACCTCCTCGATCCCCTACAATCTGGCTTCCGTCCCCTACACTCCACCGAAACCGCCTTACTCAAACTCTCCAACGACCTTCTAACCGCCAAAGCTAATGGCCACTATTCAGTGCTCCTACTCCTTGACCTCTCTGCGGCCTTCGACACAGTCGACCACCACCTCCTCCTCAAAAAACTACACTCCCTCAGCCTCATAGATTCTGCTCTCTCCTGGCTCTCATCCTACCTGTCACATGGCTCTTTCAGCGTTACCTATAATGCTACCACCTCCCCCTCACTCCCCCTCTCTGTTGGGGTCCCTCAAGGCTCTGTCCTTGGGCCCCTTCTCTTCTCCATCTACACCTCCTCCCTTGGCCAACTCATACACTCTCACGGCTTCAACTACCACCTCTATGCCGACGACACACAAATCTATCTCTCAACCCCCCACCTCACCCCCTTGGTCTCTGCCCAAATCACACACCTACTGAGCGACATATCAGATTGGATGTCGCTCCACTTCCTTAAACTGAACCTCTCCAAAACCGAGTTTCTTGTCTTCCCCCAGCCCAGATCCCACCCCCCATTGACTTCTCCATCACATCCAACAACGCCAATATCAAACCCGCCCTGCAGGCCAGAGTACTTTGGTGTCATTCTGGACTCCAACCTATCCTTCCAGCCCCAAGTCCAATCTTTAACAAACTCGTGCAGACTCAACTTCCGCAACATCGCCAAAATACGCACGTTCCTAACCCCAGAAACCACTAAACAGCTCATCCACTCCCTCATCATATCACGACTCGACTACTGCAACTCCCTCCTCACTGGCCTGCCTCGCCGCTGGCTATCCCCGCTTCAGTCGATCCTGAATACGGCTGCCAGACTCATTCACCTTTCCAACCGCTCCGTTTCCGCCACCCCCCTCTGCCAATCCCTCCACTGGCTTCCGATTGCGCAACGGATCAAATTCAAAAGCCTAACTCTGACGTACAAAGCCGTCCACCACACTGCCCCGAACTACATCACTAATGTCCTAATATCCTAATGACCTAATATCCAAGTACCGCCCAGCACACACACTCCGCTCCTCACAAGACCTCCTTCTCTCTAGTTCCCTGGTCTCCTCCTCCCATGCCCGCCTCCAGGACTTCTCCAGGGTGTCACCTATCCTCTGGAATTCCCTGCCCCAACCCATCAGATTATCACCTACTCTCCTCTCCTTTAGGCGCACCCTGAAAACCCATCTCTGCAGGGAAGCCTACCCCACCCCCTGCTAACTTGACCGACCTCCACTCTTCCTACCACTCCATCCCCCGCAGCTATCTCCTCCTGTGCCACCATCCCCTCTCTCCTAGATTGTAAGCTTGAAAGAGCAGGGCCCTCAATCCCCTCATGTTTTGCATTGTATTGGTATTGTTCTGTCACATGTTCTGTCCCCCTTTGTAATGTACAGCGCTGAGCGAACTATTGGCGCTTTATAAATACTGTATAATAATAATAATAATAATAATTTAACTATGAGTTAAGTACAATTTAATTGTTAACTGGATAATTGGTTGGCAAAGGTGGGTACTAAAATCAATTAAACATTAGTATTTTTTAATTTTCCACAGAGTTAATGCATTTGGAAGGGGATATTGCTAACTCCCAGCCTCAGGTAAATGTTTTGCATTGCTTTCCCTCCCACTGTTTTTGTGCCTTATCTTCCTGTTGAAAACTGTTCTAAGTGCTGTAATTTGTAACACCCTTGAACTCTAGGTCAGAGCACGTCACCCTGCACTCGCACACGACCCATCTTATCCTGCAAATCGCCGTGGTTCCTCTGATTTGTCCAGTGGTCATTCTGAAGGGGAATCACATGCATCTGAGAGGCCAAACAGTAAGAAATTGCCATCAAACATGTCTGCAGAATGTTGTTCTGTTTAGCCTCCCCCTCGAAATGTCAGAGTGCAGATATACACAATAGTACTTAGTGTTCAGCAGCTCACACCAGTTGTGCTGCAGTCTGTGTTACAGAATGATTGGAATGCCAGCTTTAGACACTTCACAGTATCTCTTAGCTTAGTCTCAGTCACTTCTTGGATTTTTTGTGTTGTGCTTTGGTTGTTTTTAGGCTTTGTGTTTTGATTTGTCACTTGCTTCCTCCCTCCTACCGTGAAAGTTTTATTTTGTCTCTTCACTTTTTTTCCAGGTGGGCAGCGGAGGAGTAGTTCAGGGGGTTGGAGTTTGACGTCTGCTGACAGCTCTGACTCCCATCTGCTTCAGCATTTCTCTGGGCTCCTTCATGGTTCTTCTCCAGTGTGTGAAGTCCGAGATCCGCCTGTACCCTGTGATCCCTCCAGCACGGACAGCTGTAGAAACGGTGCTGCCTCTCGCATGGAGTTGCCACTTCGTCGTAGTCTGTCCAAGTCTGATTCGGACCTGTTAACATGTTCCCCCCCAGCAGTTGGTGAGGGAGAAGACTGGAACCGCAGCGAGTCTCTCACCAACTGTGCAGCTGGGGGCAGCAAGAAAAGACTAGAGAAGTCCCCTTCCTTCACTTCAGAGTGGGATGAGGTCAGTCAGAGAAATGGGGAGCCACTTGAATGACATGTGAGTGGATAGTAAAGGCAAGACAGTTTTGTAAGGTCAAGGACCTACAAAGCTGTCATTTTGTAAATCTTAGTGGGTAAATAGCAGTAATGAGGAAAAAATGGGGTTTCTGATTTGTGTTAGAAAAAAAAGGTAAGTGCAGGCTGAAATTAGTAAATTAGAATGATTCCTTAAGGTCTTCAGGTTTATTTGATGAGAGAACAAAAATGATTTATATTACTAGTTCTAACAATGCTGCTTTTCCAGCAGAGGCTCCAGTTGGCCACAGAATCTTCCCCCAAGCACTACGTAAGACAGACAGCTGGGGGCAGTTGTTAGAGGGGCCGGGTGCTGGTAGCAAGGTTGTCTGCTTATGTTGAGTGTTGCTTTTTCTTGTTAGTTTGTTGTATGTTGCTGCCTGCTGTGATGTGGTCTGGTGGAGGAAATCATCTTCTTATGTCTGTGTCAAGATAAACTGCTTGGCTGTAAAGTTTTGGCTGTAATATTTCTGCGGTATTAATGGGATATCTTCCAATGCTTAGTCATGATGTAATATTTGTCCTGTTTTCGTGCTTGCTTAAAATACCCCAAAAGGAGAAGCATTTTTAAGATTCTTATATTTGCATTTCAGACATATCCTAATGTAAATTGATCTTTCAATTGATTGATTAAAAAGTGTAAGAGTTTAGCTAATTTAATAAAATGGTAAAATAAAGGTGGATATGCAGTAACTTATAGCTGGTCAGCAAACCTGTTACAACAGGTATGCTAATATAAGATGACTTCTGGTTGGCCACTATGCACTTACCGCATACTGCTAGATCAATTTACTTTATTATGTAAACCCTACTGTATGAAATTTTTGGTTCATTTCCTTTTAAGGTAAATAAGCAGGCATTAAACAGTAGACTATATATTTGCTGCTCTTTCAACACACTGTTATGAATTTGCTATATTCCTTTTTTCCCCTCTGTATTTTGGATTTTCCTTTTCCACAGATCGATAAGATAATGAGTTCTATTGGTCAGGGTATAGAATTTTCCCAAGAGCAACAGGTCATAGCAGGTAACAAACTATAACAACATTAGTGCATGTACAGAGTGTTTGTTGTGATTCATAAGTTAGTGTAGTAATGCTCTTCATTTGTTAATGCTCTTAGGATCCCGTGTTCCAGGTCAGAGTGTAGCTGAGTGGTTAGAATCCCTTGGCCTCCCGCAACATGAGAGCAAGTTTGTGCTGAATGGATTCGATGATGTGCGCTTCCTGGTAAGTACATAGTCTGAGAAGGTAGGGTATGTCTGCAAATGTTACAGTGAAGGAAATAAGTATTTGATCCCCTGCTGATTTTGAATGTTTGCCCACTCACAAAGAAATGATCAGTCTAAAAATCGAATGGTAGGTGTATTGTAACATGGAGACACAGAATAGCAACAAAAATTCAAAACAAATGCATGTCTAACAAATTATGCACTGATTTGCATGTTCATGAGGGAAATAAGTATTTGATCCCCTTCACAAAACATGACAGTATTTGTTGGAAATCTCTTGTTGGCAATCATAGAGGTCAGACGTTTCCTGTAGTTCTGCACACATCTCAGGAGGAATTTTGGCCCACTCCTCTTGGCAGATCCTCTTCAAGTCATTAAGGCTTTGTGGCTGACGTTTGGCAACTCGAACTTTCAGCTCCCTCCACAGATTTTTATCGAATTAAGGTCTGGAGACTGGCTAGGCCACTCCAGGACCTTAATGTGCTTCTTCTTGAGCCACGCCTTTGTTGCCTTGGCCATGTGTTTTGGGTCATTGTCATGCTGGAACACCCATCGATGACCCATTTTCAATGCCCTGGCTGAGGGAAGAAGGTTATTACCCAAGATTTGATGGTACATTGCCCGGTCCATTGTCCCTTTGATGCGGTGAAGTTGTCCTGTCCCCTTAGGAGAAAAACACCCCCAAAGCAGAATGTTTCCACCACCATGTTTGACAGTTGGGATGGTGTTCTTGGGGTTATAGGCAGCATTCCTCCTCCTTCAAAAACTGCGAGTTGAGTTGATGCCAAAAATCTTGCTTTTGGTCTCATCTGACCACAACACTTTCAACCAGTCCTCCTCTGCATCATTCAGATGTTTAGTGGCAAACTTCAGACGGGCCTGGACATATGCTTTCTTGTGCAGAGGAACCTTGCGGGCACTGCAGGATTTCAATCCTTGTCGGTGTAGTGTGTTACCAATTGTGTTCTTGGTGACTGTGGTCCCAGCTACCTGGAGATCATTGACAAGATCCTCACATGTAGTTCTGGGATGATTCCTCACTGTTCTCATGATCATTGACACTCCACGAGGTGAGATCTTGCATGGTGCACCAGCCCTAGGGAGAATGACAGTTATTTTGTGTTTCTTCCATTTGCGAATGATTGCACCAACTGTTGTCACCTTCTCACCAAGCTGCTTGGCGATAGTTTTGGTAGCCCAGTCCAGCCTTGTGTAGGTCTACAATTTTGTCCCTGACATCCTTGGACAGCTCTTTGGTCTTTGCCATGGTGGAGAGTTTGGAATCTGATTGCTCCTGTGGACAGGTGTCTTTTATACAGGTAACAAAATGTGATTATCAGCACTCCCTTTAAGAGACTGCTTCTAATCTCATCTTGTTACCTGCATGAAAGACACCTGGTAGCCAGAAATCCTGCTGAATGATAGGGATCAAATACCGATTTCCCTCATGAACATGCAAATCGGTGCATAATTTGTTAGACAGAATAGCAACAAAAAATTCAAAACAAATGCATGTCTCTCAGTATTACAATACACCTACCATTAGATTTTTAGACTGATAATTTCTTTGTGAGTAGGCAAACATTCAAAATCAGCAGGGGATCAAATACTTATTTCCTTTACTGTATATTTGTTCCAAAATTACCTCCTGGAATTCACAGTAATGCGACACAACAGCAGTGCCTAAATTTAGGCCATTGGACTTGGTTAGTGCTTCACAACAAGGGTCATTGCTCATGCCTGTAACATAAGAGCAGTGTCTTTGAACACATTTCCCATAAATATTTTTCACGTAGATTTGAATGGGTGCTGTGATTTTTCTTTTCAACAAGGTTTTCTCTTTCAACAGCAAAAACAAAAAAAAGTGCTTTCACAGCTTGCAGGCTATTTGTATGAATTAGCCCATTCCTAAAGTGGACAGTTTTTTGGCCATGCCCACACTTGATATGGCTACACTGCCCAGGAAGTCCTCTGCAGGAGAATTTTGGACCAAACCAGGTGGTCTAGTCCAAAATTCTCTTGTATGGAACGCAGTCTACTAGCCTGTAGTAGGCACAGAAATGGACTAATTGTGGGGATAGTCGGGGCCTGTATTTTAACACCAGCTCCAGCCAAAACGAAGTTTTGAATGGGCGATTTTCTGTTTAGATTCAAAATTCCCGAATGTGTTCCCATAGCATAGATTTCTTTTCACACCTGTCACCTGGACAGGAAGTGAGCTGAATTGTTCTTAATGGGGGCACAGGCAGCACTAAAACACTGGCAAAGGTTGTAAATCTTCCTCACTTTACTAGAAAATCTTTCATTGCTGCCTGTTTTTCCGTTGAAGGGTTATTCCCCACTTCCTGACTTGTCTGTCACAAACCTCCTGAAAAGCAAACACAGTAATAAACATTAGCAGAACATCTAGTCCTTCTGTGTCCTTTTTAAAGCTATTAACTCCCCCCCCCCCCCCCCCCCCCCCCAAAAAAAAAAATACCATGTTCTGAATGTTTGTGCTGTATTGCATAATGTTAAATTAGATCTGCACCCCTTCACATCCATTTAACTTGACTTGGGCACACCAGTTCTGTGCCGCCTGGAAAATCATTCTAAAATCTTGATAACCATGCTTTAATCCGAACGTAAAACCCATTCAGCCTGGTAGCCACATGTTTTTTCCATATTAGTCGTGTAAGAGAATAAGGCCAGTCAGACTGAAGCACTGTGAACCACTTCATTGTTTGCACTGTTGAGTGTCATTTCAAATTTCCTACCACCACAGGGTTCACATTGGACAGGGTTAACACTGAGGGTAGACATTCTTTGAATGGAGTGGTACTCATGTTCTGTGTTTTCTTTCCTGTCAGCATAATAGGAAGTACTATCTTGTGACTGCTCCTGCTTGCTATCACTTTGTGGAACTCAGGTCTCTGGTCTGCTACCACTGCCCTTCTTTAGTCACCGCCTGGCTGCCCAACCCATTCTCAGCTGCTCTGGGTTTGTTAGTAATGAGATCTTGTCTCCCAGTTTGTGCCTAGTTGCATTACCTCTATGTGTTTGCAACGTATGTGCACAAAGACACACAGGACATTCCCGCTGCTGGTGACCCCAGCCCCTACTCCCCTTGCGTTCTGGCGGTACCTGCTCGATATTCTCTGAAGGAAAGCTGCGCCTGGTACCTCCTTTGTTATTGGGGGTCTTCGTCACAGTCTTCCTCAGCTCTGTTGAGTGTGGCTGAGCCCTTGAACCTGCCTTCAGAAACCTCCACTCAGGACTTTTTGACCACTGTGTTCTTTGCAAACCTTGATCGCAGAGGATCTCCATGCACTTCCATGCCACTCCCTGTAGAGTCTCCCGGGCCCTCCAAAGGCCTTAGATCAGGCTGAATCACTTATTCCTATTGTGTGTAATCTACTTCTGAAGAGACTCTGAGGCACCGCAGTTGTCTGTTTGTGATAGACCTTATTGGTGTAAATGCATTCTACCCTGCATTTGGATGTTCAGCCTGTTGCCTCCAGCCTTTGGTCTTTTAGACCTACAGCTGCAAAGACCTTCCGTTTACACATACTGTTCAACACATTCTACTAAATGGATTGTGAGCACCTTGAGCTGTCTTGGGCCCTGCCTGGGAGTGTGCTGAAGATGTTGCCCATTGAGAGACAATTCGATAAATTGTGGCTTGTTTCCACTGTTGGTTAACCAGTGTACCACCTAAACAGTGCACCACCAGTGAGATTGGTGTGCTTTTTTAACTCCATGTCTATCAGGTATGTTTATAAATAGCATGGTAAACAAGACGTTAAAACAAGCACTGTAGTTTTAAAGCAAAAGCCCTTATCAGGGCTACCATAACATTCCATAGTTTTTCAAAATCTCAGACTAACAGTTTTAAACCTTGACATTTTTGCTATCCCTCCTCAAATCCAAGTTTAAGCATCAGCAAACACTGAGTTTGAACTATTTATACATGATTTCATCAGCAAACCCTGAGATACCAACCTCTAAATTATTTGAGTAAGTCAAACAGAATTGGTCCCAGTACAGAGGCCTGGGATACCCCACTTACATCTCCACACCATTCAAAAGATAAGTGGTTTATCACCACCCTTTGGACTTTCCCCTGTAACTAGTTTGCTATCCAGGGACATACACTTCTGTCAGTGCCAAAACACCTGTGTGTGTGTGTGTGTGTGTGTGTGTGTGTGTGTGTGTGTGTGTGTGTGTGTGTGTGTGTGTGTGTGTGTGTGTGTGTGTGTTACCATGTCAAATGCTTTGGCAAAATATAGAGGCACGATATCCATAGGCCTTCCCTCTAGCCAAATTACGTCTCACTTCCTCATAGAATGTTAATAGGTTGGTCTGACAAGAACGATCCTTCATAAATCCATGCTGGTTACTATTAATGATACCATTTTCATCAGCGGATTCTTGAATATGGTCCTTTATTATTGCCTTTTATAGTTTACATATTAGTGACGTTAGGCTGACTGGCCTGTGGGTTCAAGGTATGTATCGCTGCCCTCTTTTTGATATTGGTACCATGTTCGCTTTTCGCCAATCAGCTAGTATCATTCCAGTAAGCTGTCCTTAAAGATTAGGAATACCAGTCTAGCAATGACTTGGCTCTTTGAAGGCTCTTGGGTCTAAGCTCTCTGGTCCTCGTGATTTGCTCACATAAAGTTTTTCAAGTCTTTTTAGAACTCTGCCTTCTGTTAGTGACAAGGGTACAATCTGTGCTGTATTGCTAACAATACCATTATTTCTGTTTATATCCCTCATTCTCCATAGTAAACATTGAAGAGAAGAATGCATTTAAGACAGCTGCCTTCTCCCTGTCACTACTAACCAACTTCCCTTAATTTTCCTTTGGGGCCAATATGCTCTGACTTTGCCTTTTTACTATTAATATATTTCAGATTGTTTTTGGTATTCTTTTTAATCCTCTCTGATATGTGTTTTTTGTGGTCTAGTTTATCT